GGGGGGGGGGGGGGGGTCGGGATCGGGGTCGAGGATGGTCTAAACATATATGAATGAAAGTGAAAACGACAAGTGCGGGACAAACCGGCTTCACATCCCCATTCCATATGACATGAGCAGCCAAAAATCCAATAACAGCAGGCACAATGTACAGAAGTGCAGGCTGAAAAGATGAAATCAGACACAGGTTAAGGCCACATATTTTCACTAAAGAGTTTAGAATCAAGAAATAAAGTCATTAACTTCGGAGATCATTTTAATCAAAGGTGGTGTGTAGGCCAAAAAAAATGCAAACGTCACCTGAGCAGCTTGAAACCAATTCATGACTATTATTGTGAGGACCAAACCAAATGTGTATCCCGCAAAAGCACTCGTAAAATATTGACCGTTTTTTCCCCTGGATGCATCAAATCGAAGAGCCAAAGCAACAAAGATGCCTACAGGAAGGGAAGCAATATCAATAGTTTCCTCAAGAAACAAAAATTTCCAAAATTGCAAGGTAAAATTTCTAACAAAATTAAGACAAATTAGATCTATAAAAAAGCAAAAACACACCAACTTGCTTGTGATTATGTGAAAATTATGCACAAGCAAAAAAATAAAATAAAATAAAAGAACGGAGATTCAAGTTATTCTAATAATCAGGCAGCTTCAAGGTTCATTTTTAGACAATGTACACAATATTCTCACAAGGTAACACTTGTTTATATCTACTTAACTTAAAAAACTGCATACTAAACAAGCAATATGAACGGAAGACAGGGTCATCAACGCTCGATAACAGAATTACACAAACATTATAGTCAAGATAAGAACATTCATCAAGGATCTTCAAAAGGCAACGAGCACTACATAGCCAGCATGATATGTATTATGGACACGGTGACCTCCAACTTTTTGGAAAAACTAAACCACCAAAATATTGTAGCTGAGACCCGTACGCATCTAAGATAAATCTTGACATTCTAGCACGTTCTAGCAAAGATGAAAAGCATAGTTGGCAGGTAATATGAAAATAAATAAATAAATAAAAAGTCCCAACCACAAATCCAACACATCCAGATCGACACTCAAACTCACCGGGAATGACAATGTCACCAAGTCCAAGCATGGAAAATGGTCTAACAGCGTCTGCAGTGGGGAACAAAAGCTGCAGACAAATTTAGAAAACCACAATCAGACAGTCAGCTTAGCCCAAATCAAATTTCACTCTGAAATGTCATGGAAAAGAAAATATGACATATTCAAGTTAAGCAAGAGTACAAACCTTTATAGGTGCGTCAAACGATTTTGCAACACTAACCATCACTGGAGTAAAGAAAACCCAGAAGATATCATATACGAAAAGTCCAGCCTGTGGGGAAATTAGGAAAATTAATAAGGGGAAAAAATGGCAACTTTTATCAAGCATTTTCCAACATTAGACTCCAAACATGTCAATTTTGTGAGTGTAGTTTACAAAACAGAGGATTTCAGAACACATAAGACAAGTATTCCATACAACTGTAACCAGATAATTTTGAATTATCATTAACTTTCATTTCCATATCCTTATATTCCTTACCAAAAGTATAGCACCAGTCTTAAAGGAACCAAGAGAAAGCATTTCAATTCCCTGCAAACGGAAAACAGAAAATTAATTACTTCGTTGTGTGCTCATCTATATGTGTATATGCTGTATAAATGAATATCAATTAAATACATAAAAAGAAAATATACGAAAATCCCACAGGTAACTTTTAGAAATAATTAAATTGATGGTTTAATTCTTGAATTAAACCCAACAAAGATCTTGTCGGTGAGCAACAAACTCCCAACTGCATACTTTTAAGTAATTAAACAAGAAAGGATTGCTCAAACAAATGGCTACAGTGTGGTTTATTTTAAAAGATTGCACTGTACCTGGATACAAAAGGCAAGGCCCAAGATATTGTTAGCCAGCCAATGTTTTTTCAGAGCATACCATGCACAAAAGAAAGTTCCAGGAATTGCTGCAACAACCTGAGACCTGGTGAACTCGATCTCCAAAGCTGTGAAAGAAATGAAAGGAAAAATATCATTCAGCATGATAAAAGGATATAAGGTCAACCAGATAAAATCAGCTGAAATCTTGAGAGAAGCAGAAGAATCAAAACAGAAACAAAGTTATAACCGTACAACAAAAGGCATCGTTAATGTTTTAAAAGAATTTGGCGCTAGACCTATGAACTTCCTGACGAACAGATACATTAACATAGGAAACTAGAACAAAAACCATTAGATTTCAATCTCCTTAATAGGAAAAGTGGCAAATTAAGTTCTTCAAAGCCAACAAAGAGCTCTAAACCACCTACGGACCAAGGTTCATTTCAAAATAGATTAGACTTGAAAATTCAAAGAAAGAAATGGTGATCCAGACTTCAAGGATAACCTTGCATCATAATCTTAAAAAAAAAAAAAAAAATCCAAATTATAATAAAAAAAAAATAATAATAAATATAAAACACTTGGAAGTTGGAATTAGCATATTTTCCAGGAAAATACATAAAGCTAAAACAAAACCACATACCACGGAAATATGGAAAACGCCATACAATAGCATCTTGATTCCAATGGTCTGGCAGATATCGTTTGATAGCAGGCAACAGAGTGGCGCTAGACAGAATGGAAAGAGGCCAATCATTGTAAAATTTTGAACCAGCACACTTAATTATATCAGCAATAACAAGAAGTGCTTGTGTTCTTGTTATGATTTGAATACATACGAAAGAGCAAGGATCCCAAGCACAAAGAAGTAGATTGTCAAGACTGCATTAACCAAGTCCTTAGATAGAAACTTGAAAAGCAAAAAAAGAGACAAAAGCATCGCACTCCCAACAAAGGGAAAACGCATAGCATGTTCACTCGACATGGTCTCCTGCATATTTGACAATAAGAAATTGTAAGCAAATGGATTTGTAATCATTCAAGGAAATGAACAACTTGGAGAAATTTCCCCGTTGCACTTACTGAAGGTGGAGTAGGTTTCACAGACCGATAACAACCAACATAAACAGTTAGACAGGCAGTGAGAACGACATTCACATTAGGATCAACCTTCATGACAAGTGGAGCTAATGTCAATCCTGCATCCGCAAAGTTGAAGAAGTTAGGCTTAGCCATACAAATCTCTCTAACAAATATATATATATATATATACGTATCATTGCACTAGTTCCATGTGATTGAAGACAAGTACAAATTCATTCCAATCCATCGAGATCAATGAATACAAACTACAGATAACTTGATCTAGTCCCATACTAAAAGTTATACAGATCTTGCAAAAGACTCCAAGAAACTACAAGTGGCAATTAGTCGAGATTATAATCTATGATCATACCATATAACCACCAATATTACGTCCAGCATATAAAAAGACAGTTCATCGATAGAGAAAATAAAGAAAATTGGTCATTCACATGCAAGCTATCTAATTAAGCGATTAATGTTACCCAGTGCCTAAACATCCAGGGCGAAAAGAGTGGTCTTACAAAAGCAAACACAAAAGAAAGAAAGAAAGATCTCAAGATTAACGCACGCCGACCTTTGCATTCATATATTTAAACGACAAAAAATCAATAAAAGAAATATGTTACCCACCCGCTAAAGCAAAATTCGCAATACGCTCGGCGTTCATCTTGAACAGTTCTTAATTAAACACCTTACACCAACACTGTCAATCCGGAAAAAACGTGTCCCGCAATTGCTCCCTCTGCAGTCAAACTCGTAGACAAACACATTAGTTAAAACGCAAACATCAATTTAAACTACGAGCGTAAACAACAAACCATAAATAAATAATCAGAAATGGAATCAACATCAACACACAAAGAAAACCATTGAATTGGAGATAGAAAGATACAACCGTACCAATCATCGGCGGCTCGAGGACTTCGAGTGGATTTGACCACGCAGATCGGAGAGCTCGCCGAAGAAAGAGAAGGGATTTTTTTCACAAAATTTTCAGATTTAGGGCTTAACTGGACGAATGGGTAAAAAAAAGAAAATGAAACGGTAAAACTAAAATTTAAAAATGACGCCAATCGATTCACCGGACTGATACTTTAAATCGTCGGATCTTCAATGACCACCGGGATTTTGCCGGAACGTGACGGACAAACGTTTCTTTTGCCACGTGGCGAATTCCTATTGGTTTGGTGATGGTTCTGATGCGAACGCCGTTTGCGATTGGACGTGGTATTTAAGTAAAACCGGTCAGTAGAAATAAAATAATAAAATTTATCGAGAAAATTAAATAATAAAAGTATTACAAACCGCTAAAATTAAATAAAGCCACGTATTTTTCTGATTTTTGTCCAATCATATTTTGACACGTCGGATTGGGCTTCTCCCGCTTGACATGTCATCTCAAAAGCGTAACGTTCCAGTAAACCGTAAATTATTCTCTAATATACTTAAATTATAATAATTCTCGTGAAATTCGTAATTTATTTTTAATTTTTTTAAATAAAATTAATAATTTAAAAAATGGAAAATGGAAAATATATATAATTGGCTTATCCGTTTCTCAGCGGAGCTGCTCTGAAATACTGAACGATGCAGTCGCGGTTGCAGCAGCTCCATGGGAGCCGAATATTGAAACCTCGTGGACTACGCGAGCAAATGGCTACGACTTCCATTGCTCATCTCTCAAGATTCAGCTCAAGCTCACTCAGATTCTCCTCTCCATTATTTCATCCGCTCTCAGCGTCTCTTTCCGTTGCTCAATTTAGCAATGTTCTTCGTCTTCGCGCTCGTTCCACTGCTGCGAAACCTATCGCGATGTGCAAAATGAACGATGCAGGTTGTTCTTTTTCTTTTTTTGTTCTTCTGCGGTATTTGCAACAAGCTATCTGTTTGTTTATGATTTTATTGTGGAATTTTTGCTGAATTAGAAGGGGGTTTTGTGATTTTTATTGATGAATATGCGTGCGGTTGAATGAAAGTAAAGAAGAATTTTGTTTTTAAATGTTTGTTAGATTTGATATCACAGTTGGAGCTGGGGAAACCACTGCAGAATCGGAAACCGGAGAAGCGTGTTAATGGTATATTCTGGATCATTCTTCTCAACATTGGAGTATATGTGGCCGATCACATTTTTCAGGTACGAGTTCTGTTACCACATGCTATCAAGTCTAATGCTATTTGCCTATAGAGATTGAGAAAGAAAGAGCCCCAAAATATTGCCCAAAAGTTGAGGAGTACTGAATGAACTATTTGTCAAAGCTGATTGTTATAGGGCATTAATAGGTTAATCCACTCGTAAGCAGATTATTAACAGTAAACCGTTCTATTAGGGAATCTGAAAAGATACGTTCTAAAAGCATCAGATTCATAGCAGTCAACTTAGCTAGTAAAAAACTTGATTCTCGAGTTGAAGCAACTCAAAAGCTTAAGTTGATGGGTGATGGTAACTTTAATTATATCAACATTTTAACATTCTCCTTGTTTATGGGCTTGAAAGTTTGTAATATGCTCAACAAGTAGAAATCAATATTACTTGGGGAGTAGAGAATGGTAGGGTTCTTTTTTTTTTTTTTTTTTTTTTAAATTTTGTGATAAGGAATCAACCCTAATGAAAGCTTTATACCAAATGATAAGGAATCAACCCAAACCCAAGAGAAAGCTCTAATGCAAAATGCTAAGGAATCACTATAAGGAAAGTAAGATTCGAATTACCTTATTGATCAAATATATTAAGTCAAGAACACTTGTTTGAGATCTGAGTCACTCCAGAAGTAAAACTGATCATGTCAAACTTGAATGATTGTACATGCAACCTAAACTATATAGAATTGCAAAGAAACTTAGTCTTTGACAAAAGGAAAGCACAAATGCTCTTTTTATTCTTTGCAAAGATAACATATATGGCTTTATATAGCCTCAAAATGAGAACTCTTAACCTTCCATGAGGCATTCCTAGAGTAGAGTTGTAATTTTCATACTTTATGACCATAATTAACCACTATGTAAATAGGCTTTAAAATACATTAAAGAAACACCATAACTCTAAAGTACCATCCACCCAAAATTTGTAACCATCCAAGAATAAATGGAGCTTGATTCTTCTTTAATGTGGCATGAATTGCAACATCTTGTGATAATTTGAACAACATTTTCTTCACATCTTCCTTAAAATTTATCTTGTATGATTGATGCCTTGGTTCATATCACTTTGTTACTCAAACACTGAGATGCCTGTGCTCAATTACTAAATTCTCTTTTTCATAGGTTCGTAGTATAGGAAATCTGTACCTGTACCACAATCGTCCTGCATGGTATCAATTTTTTACAGCAACATTTTGTCATGCTAATTGGTGAGTTTTTGGGCTCTTCAAAATCATGCAAATTTTACATTTCTCGTCTACCCTGAATGGATCGGTGGAGTTAGAAGCTTGTTATCTTCTCATGAGAATGCAATTTTCTGGTTTTACAAGCATGACTTAGTGGAATACTTACTATTTCCATGAATGTTTTGCAGGAACCATCTCTCTAGCAATCTTTTTTTCTTGTATATATTTGGTGAGACCCACACTTGACTTCCCTCCCCTCCCCTCCAAGAAAATGAATGTTCTAATGTATGGATTTCTACTTTATTTCTTGGAGGTGGAAGCCATAAAATAACCCTAATGTTCTGACATTTAATAGTTCCATTATTTGTGATGAACAGGAAAACTTGTTGAGGAAGAGGAAGGAAACTTTGCTTTGTGGCTTTCCTATATTCTTACTGGTGTAGGTGCAAACATTGTTTCATGGCTAATTTTACCGAGAAATGCTGTATCAGTTGGAGCTTCTGGTGCTGTTTTTGGGTTGTTTACTATAAGTGTCCTTGTAAAGGTATCTATCAAAAACTTATGATTTATCACTCTCATTTCCATTTTGATACATTTTAACTAAGAAATTTCTTCGTGGCAGATGTCTTGGGATTGGAGGAAGATCCTTGAAGTCCTTATACTTGGTCAATTCGTTATAGAGAAGGTAGTGCATTCTCTTTTTACTCCCATGTGAATGATCTTAAACACTCGACAAGCAACTTTTCTAAATGGGAATGCATGTAACAGCGCAAGCTCACCTCACCGCGAGTAGATATTGTCCTCTTTGGGCTTTCTCTTTCAGGCTTTCCCTAAAGGTTTTTAAAACGCATCTGCTAGGAAGAGGTTTCCATACCCTTATAAAAAATGCTTTATTCTCCTCCCAATTGATGTGGGATCTCACAATGCATGACTACACTATGCAAGTCATTGCTTAAGATGTTCATTATTCTTTTGCTCTATCTTTTATCTAATGGATCCGACTAGTAAAAATATAGATATTGTCAATCTAAATATAGTTCAATTAGTTAAGGTTTATATTCTCAAAAGATATCATAATCCTCTAACTTCCACATGTTGAACTAAAACAAAGTAACGGAACAGTTGAAATAGAATTAAAGTGTCTTTCTCTTTTCTTTTATTTCTAAAAGCATAAATCTTGTGGTTGGTTTGTGTAAAACATAAGGTGAGGGGAACTTGCTTATCCATATGCTTTGCTTGGTCACTATAGGTCATGGAAGCAGCCCAAGCTTCAACTGCACTGTCAGGAAGCTTCCGCGGAGGATCTGCCTTGCAGAATGTTAACCATGTTGCTCATCTCTCTGGGGCGCTCGTCGGTGTCTTTCTGGTATGGCTTCTCAGTAGAATTCCTTCTCAACCTCCTGATGATCAAGATGCATCAACTTTGCACAGGAAAGTAAGATGATTGCTCAAGCAATTCTGCTTTGAAATAGAACAATACACTCTGCCATTATCTTCTTGTTTTGTTCTCATTTAGGAAACAGTATCCATTCATCTTCCTATTTGTATCTTGCGTAAAATATTTTATATAGGATTGTGGCTATAGGTTTGCAAGTGTGAAAGTAATATTGGCATGGATGGATAGAATTTTCTTGACAACTAAATGTGATATGATTTAACTACCTCCGACTAATAGGTCGACATAAATTCAACTTAAAATAGAACTTGCAACACGAGGTAAAAGCTAAAAAAGTGATATTAAGGTCAAATGGAAGAGAAACATGACATACTCTTTAAATTTTCATAAACAGAGAAATAAGATACCAAGTGGGTTTTGGATGTTATTTCTCTTATATAAAGCCGATAAACAGTCTGAAGTAGAAGCGGACGGAGATGGGAAGAAAAGGACACTGACTACAGGACAGGAAAATTCACAAAAGCTTTTACAATGGAGAAGTTTCTATAACACAGGATTGGAGCAAAATCCAAGCAACTGGTAAGAGCCACTAGTAGGGAACAGAAAGTGCAGCGACTTCAGTCTCATTTTACACTCATCTATACGACAACCGATTTGAAATGACTACTACTACGTCTTCGTCCTTCTGTTCCTACAACAATGCAGGCGACTTGATCGAGAGGCTTTAACGTGCAACACTTAATGCCGAACACTCATAACATACCAAAGTTGGCCAGAGCTGTTTGGAACAGAGACGAGAAAGCTTGTGATGCAGTTTGGTCGTCCGCTTTGACCTTTATCTGTGCTTTGGCGGATGCTGTGTTGATTATGCACTCCACCAGAAAGTTGGATGGTTCTTCTTGCTTTTGTGCGAAGAAGAAAAATTTGAAGTTCGGTGCCTGGCCACCGGATGCAATGCAATGAATGGAATGGCTTTGCATGTGCCGGAGGAGGACTTGCGGTGATGTTAGAGCTGCACTGCCTCTCGGGCTTACAGCATGTTCCTGCGACAAAAAATGTGTCTGGTGTCAGCACAATGTAGAAGACGGTATAGTGCAAGTATCCTAAGTTCAGTTTCCCTTGGAGCAGGTGAATATTATTGTAACAACCCAAACCCACCGCTAACAGCCCTCTTTGGGCTTTCCCTTTTGGGGTTTCCCTCAAGGTTTTTAAAAAGCGTCTGTTAGAGAGAGGTTTCCACACCTTTATAAGGAATGCTTCGTTCTCCTCTCCAACCGACATAGGATCTCACAATCCACCCCATTGGGACCAACGTCCGCGCCGGCACACCGCCCAGTGCCTGG